CTCTTCTTCCAGGAAGCAGAAGCTGCCAGGTCATTTCAGAGCCACGCTGAGAACTGGCAGTGTCCCTTCCACTCTATTCCATCGGTCAAAGCAGCCACAAGCCCTGCCTAGACTTAAGAGGAAGAGAAGTAAACTCCACTTGTGATGGGCTAAGTGTCAAGGTCACATTGCAGAAGAAGACGTGTGCAATGGGAGATACTGTTGGAGCCATCATAGGAAAAGAGAATCTTCCAACGGAGGATAAACAGTGACTTTGGTCCACAACGTGTAGTTGTGATGATTGCCATGTCAAATGCCTCACCCAGACTTGAGAGGAGAGACAGGCAAGGTTTCCTTAGAGGGAGGGATGGGGAAACTGAGAGCTGGGAGATGACTGGGGATAAGGCAGATTAAGGAGAAAAAGTTCCAAGCAGAGGGCATAGCAAGCCAATAAGAGAGAGAATGCCCATTTGAGACCTAAAAAAGTTCAGAATAATGGAAAGAGGGGGTGCGTGTGTGTGTGTGTGTGTGTTTACACTTGTCCTTCAGCAAGTGTTGGCATGCTAAGGGTGAGGCTGCGTTAAGGGTAACACAGGACTTTCTCTTGCAGGCAATGAAGGTTTTAGGTGAGAATTCCATTTTCCTGCGACTTGGAAGATGGCTTGGCTATCAGAGAAGATGGATGGTGGCCATCAAAATGGGAAGGACCAAGTATATTTAAGAGATAACAGGAGCAGAAAGCACAGGATTTCAAGGTGGAAGAGTGATGGAGAGAGCTTGAGTTTCAGCTTCAGGTAACTGACTAAACATTGAACTTCTTGGTAGGGAATGCAGAAGCACTTACTAAGGACTGCAAAGTGCCAGAGAGTCTGCGCTTCGGTTTTATTTGGAGACTGTTGCAGGAAGACACCCGGCCTGCACAGTAGAAAATACTTACTACTTGGCCCTCTACAGATCCCTGTTTTACAGTGGCCACTTTCTTTCCTTTCCCCAAACCCAGTGAGCTTTCTAGTGTTTAAAGAACAGAAACCCGCAGCGGCTTCCACAACTCCGTACATCCCTGGGAAAAGTCTCCAATTCCCCTCCCCCTTGTACAGGGCGAACAGGAGGCAGCTTTATGTAACAAAAAAATTGTTTTGTGCTTAGGACCTGCCCAGCTCATTTAAGTCTCTTCACAACCCAAGTTGTACTGTGTTATCATCACCATCCCTATTTTACAACGGAGGAACCGGAGGCACAGAGAGGCTGAGTCACCTGCCCAAGGTCACGCAGCTAAGAAGTGGTGGAGGCAGGATCCGAACCCGTGCAGCCAAGCTCCGCGGGTTGCGTGACGAGCGGACTCGAGGTAAAGACAGGTTTCCCAGGAGGTCGCGTTGGGACCTTCGCCCTGAACAGAGCACCTGTGGGCCCACCCACCCCTCCCAGGGCCCAGCGAGCATCTCTCCCGGGCAGGAGAGGCGCCCAGGCCGAAGGGCAGCGGAGCAGGCGGGGTCGCGGGAGCGGCGGGGCGTTGGGGGGATGGGGGGTGGGGCGGAGCGAGAGGATCGGAGCGGCGGCGGCCTGTCAATCAAAGGGTGTCGCCCTGGCCCACAGCCCCGGAGACCCACAGACTCCCGCCTCCCGCTTCCTTGCGGCCACCGCCGG